TATTTTTCAATACATGTATTGTAATTTCATCTTTAGAAGTTTGCATTGGAGCTTGTTTATGGCCCATGTCTATAACTTTTTGAACATGTAATAGAGTTTTCATAACTTGTGTTGATTTCCTTGTCTGCTAATTCTATTTAATCTGTATTAGTTCTGGGTCAATTTTGATTGATTTTCTATTAATATAGGTAACTTTTCCTACTCTGCATGCCTGGTAATCTTTGATTGGTTGCCCAACATAATGGATTTTTATGTGTTGGGTGTTAAATACTCCTGGTAATCTTGAACTTCATTGTAGGATGTAGTTAAGTTACTGGAAAATGATTTGATCCTTTTGGATCTTGCTTTTAAGATTTGTTTGCCTGGGGGCGCCTGGGTGGCTCAGTCGGCTAAAGTGTCTGATTCTTGATTTCGGCTCAGGTCATGATATCGCTGTTGATGAGATTGAGTCCCATGTTGGGATGTGTGATGGCAGTGTGGAGCCTAGGAATAGTCTGTCTGTCTGTCTGTCTGTCTCAAAAATAAACATTAAGAAAAAAAGATTTGTTTGGACCAGAGACCTGTTCATTCTAGGGCAGGGTTTCTCTATCAGCAGTCAATACAACCTTCTTTGTTGTGAAGGCCTATGCCGTGCTTTGTAGAATGTTTAACAGCATCTGTAGCCTCTACCCTTTGGGTGACCCACCAGTTGTAACAACCAAAAATGTCTCCAGAAATTTCCAAATGTTGGGGAGGAGGATGGCATATTGCCCCCAGTTCAGTAACTACTGCTTTAGGATTGATTTTGTCTCACTTCTATGCAAGATCTTCCGGTGTACTTTTGCCCATTGCCCCATGGTTTGTGAGATTTTTTTTCCCCCCTCAGGTAGGCACTTTTATTGGTCTTGTGTGTGTACTGAGTGTTGTTCCCCCTAATCTTTCTGGGTGGTTCTTTTTTTAGTCCTGTTTTGTTTCTTCATGTATATGTGATGATCAGTATTTAGCTGCATATTCAAGGGACAGTCTCTGCAGATCTCTGGAGCTTTTAGTCTTTTCAGGCTACTATAACAAAAACACTATAGACTGAGTGACTTAAACAAAGCATACTTATTTTTCACGGTTCTGAAGGCCAAGGAGTCCAAGATCAAAGCCCAGCAGATTTGGTATCCGGTGAGAGCCTTATTCTTGCCTCATAATCAGTCACCTTCTAGTTGTGTCTTCAGGTGGTGGAAGGGGTGATAAAATTCTCTGGAGTATCTCTTAAAAGACAACGAATCCCATTTATGAGGGTTCTGCCCTCAGGACCAGTCACCTCCTAATTGGAGGGTTAGGATTTCAACACATGAATTGTGGAGAGACACAAGCATTCAGTCTATAACAAGTTCTCTGTCTGTGCATCTTTCTCTTCTCCAGTAATCTGTTTCATGAACACCAGCCACCTAGATCTCCCTAGACCCTCAGCTCCATCTCCTCAACTCAGCAAATCTGCCAGGCCTCACCCATTTTGTGTCCTGTGTCACATATGACTTGGAAACTCTCAGGGCAGTAAGCTGGGGCAATAGGGCTCACTTTGTGTCCTGTGTGGCAGCGATCTTTTTTGTCCAATACCCAGTGTCTTGAAGCTGGTTTTTCTCTCCCATGTGTTTTGTCTATTATTTGGTTATTTGTGGTAGGAGGATAAATTTGGTCCCTCTTATTATATCTTGTTCAAAAGTGTAGTCCCTTTAACCCTTAATTGATCCATATTAATTATTGATTAAAGCTGAAAGTATACACTAACTTAATTTCAATTTTTAGATTTATATGAAACTCATAGCTGTCATATCTTTGTTCAAAGTCTCCAGTTCCATGTAGTTTCTGTGGCACAACATAAATACTAAATTGGCCCTAAAGCCTTTGTCATCTTTTTAATATACCTCTTTAGTGCAGGTTTTTCCCAGTGTTACGTAAATATGGGCCTCTAACTATATGTAGTAGCATGCAATTAAAAGACATGTCCTGACCTGATGAAACACATCAGTGGAGAGTGTCTCGTTTTTAGAACATTGCTACAGCAGGCTCAAAGACTTCCAGAAGGCTTCCTTGTATAACTCGTTTTGTAGCAGCTAAAACACCAGCCTCAAAGTATGATTGTTAGCATGATTCAGGGAATAGAGAACTGGTGATCTAAGACGGGAAAAAAAATTAAAGAAAATCATTTTGAGCAGTGTATGAGACAAAACCATACTGAAGGATAATCTACAGGAATGGGAGTGACTTGGAACCCATTGGTGGTAAGCTGTTGGAAAAGGAGGAAGGTAGCAGAGTAGAAAATAAAATGACAGAAGAATCCAGCCTTGTTTTGTGGGAGGTGAACTTTGCAAATTTGCTACATCGTAACTGCTGCAGGGTTTGTATGTAACTAGTGCTCGTTGGATATTCAAAGATGAAGTTACTCAGAGCATATCTTGGGGAAAAGATATGTATGTAGTGGGTGGGATAAAACCCTCTGGATATATATATTTATGAATTAAAACATAGCAAAGTCATTTTAATGGAATTCGTATATATGCGGTAACTTACATAAATTGATATACATCAGTATATATAAATTCTATGTGGTAAACTGCATAAAACCTGTAATTCCAATGGCAATGATACATTGTAGCTATAAAGAGCTGAATAAGAGTTTTTGTAGCTCTTTAGTACATAAGAATTAGGGAGTCTTGGGGCGCCTGGGTGGCTTAGTCGGTTAAGCGTCCGACTTTCGCTTAGGTCATGATCTCGCGGTTGTGGGTTCGAGCCCCGCGTCGGGCTCTGTGCTGACTGCCAGCTCAGAGCCTGGAGCCTCTTTCGGTCTGTGACTCCCTCTCTCTCTGACCCTCCCCTGCTCACGCTGTCTCTCTCTCTCCTAGAAATAAATAAAACATTAAAAAAAAATTAAAAAAAAAAGAATTAGGGAGTCTTTTAAAGTATACATATCCTTATAGGCACATGTGCTGTTAATTTTCTAAGACTGAAAATTCTTGTGGATTGATAATATGAAAAACTCTGTTTGGAAACAAAATATGATTTAAGGCTTCCAAAAATTAGGATTGCTTTTTAGTAATTAAGAAATAAATATTTAATAAGGGTTTCTTGTTGCCTGACTATTTTTGATGGTGTAAGTGGTGCTCACGTAGTTAAGTACCTGCCTTTTTCAAGTATTTATAAGTCTTCATTGCAGTAGTTTGTATGGGTAGGGGAAGAATGTAGAACAGTAGCAGTTTTCTACTTTTCTCAGTATAAGTAAGCACAGAAGATTTTTTTATAGCCAAAAATGCATGTTATAAGAAAATGATAAGCACCAAAATCAAGAATTATTTCTTCCGGGAAGGGGAGGAAGGGAACAGTATCAGGGAGGGACACTCCCTTGTATTGATGTTTTGTTTTTGGCCTTTTAAAGCAAACTTTTAAAATACAGTGTAAATTATGTAAAGTGTAGATTATAAGTATACAGCTTCTTGAATTTTTACAGAGTGAACATAACCTATATGACTATACCCAGATTAAGAAACAGAGCATGTAGGGGTGCCTCAGTTAAGCATCTGATTTCGGCTCAGGTCTCACAATTTGTGGGTTCGAGCCCCATGTCAGACTCTGTGCCGACAGCTAGCTCAGAGCCTGGAACCTGTTTCAGATTCTGTGTCTCCCTCCCTCTCTGACCATCCGCTGCTCATGCTGTCTCCTCTCAAATAAAACATTAAAAAAATTTTTTTAATAAAAAGAAACAGAACATGTATTAAAATTATTTTATATTTTTTCAAGCTGGGTAGTAGACATTTAGGTATTTCTTATATTGTTCCTTATTTTGGTGGTTGTTATTATGCTTTAAAGTTTGCCTACTGTGTTTTTTAAAAAAATCGTCTCTCTCTCTCTCTCTCTCTCTCTCTTCTCCCCCCCATGGGATTATCTCTCTCTGCTGCCTTGCTCACTTGTGCCTTCTCTCTCACTCTCTCTCAGAAAAAAATTAGTTAAAAAATCATCTCAGAAGGAAATAAGATCTTCAAAAATATGGAAAATGTCAGAAAACCCACATGCTTTAGTAACTGAGGAAAGTGCTTCAGGAAAATAGGTTTTTTTTTTCCATGTAGGCCTTTGTCTCCTGTGTTATCTTATAAGCCTGATAGAGGCCCAAGTTACTGAAAATTTTAGAATGGGAAAAGAACATAAGAACATAAACAGAACTATGTGGATCAAAGTAGTAAAAATTATTAGTACTTTTCAAATAGTACATTATTGGCCTTTTACAATCACAATATAAAGTTTGGGTCCTCAAATTATGAGTACATTGAAATGACATCTTCCTTTTAAAAATTTTATCACTGAAATCTCAGTGATAGTTTAAGAAAGAAATTGCTTATTCATTTCTACAATGATATATTCAAAGTATGGAAAGAAATGAGCTAATAAGATATTTATAGATTTTTATATCTAGTTTACAGGCTTTATTCTGTTATAGAAATCATTATTTGTATAGTGGATAGAAATATGCCTAATTTAAGAGGTTTCTTAAAACTAGTTATCTACCTTTGTGATATTTCTTATTTTTGTCTTCTCATTTTAGAGAAGTGGGAAATACTTATTCCATCAAACATGAAGATTTCTAAAATTTGATTAATTTTCATGTATTAGGTATCTATATCTCATTTTAAGAAAAGCATTAAAATGGGATTTTTCTTAACTCTCAACAGTAGACTTTTTCTGATTAAGTTACGGTTGTTATGATGTGGAAAGGCCATTTGTAGAGTAATTTTTTTGTAAAAATGTTTAGTCATTAGCCTTCTTTCTGTTGGGGGGCTATATCATAAAATTATTAGAATGTTAATTTACTGAAAACTAATCATTTGGGGGTTTTTTGTTCCTTTTTACTCTCTTCTAGAAGGCAGTAGATCAGTGTAGAAAAATGATTGTTTCTGGTATGTTTATGTGTATTTGGTCTTCAAAGGAGTTGTTAGGACACACTGAAGTTTTTGTTTTGTTTTCCTGTTTTCCCTGTACAGGCAGTGGAGGAGGAAATGGCTGTTCCTAATCACCTCTGCATTCGCCGCTGGACTACCAAGCATGTAGCTGTTTGGCTAAAGGATGAAGGCTTTTTTGAATATGTGGACATTTTATGTAATAAGCACCGACTTGATGGAATCACATTGCTAACATTGACTGAATATGATCTCCGGTCTCCTCCTCTGGAAATCAAAATCTTAGGGGACATTAAAAGGTTAATGCTTTCAGTCCGAAAATTGCAGAAAATACATATTGATGTTTTAGAAGAAATGGGATACAACAGTGACAGTCCCATGGGTTCCATGACACCTTTCATCAGTGCTCTCCACAGCACAGAGTGGCTCTGTAACGGGGAGCCTTCACATGACTGTGATGGACCTATCACTGATTTGAATTCTGATCAGTGCCAGTACGTGAATGGTAAAAACAAACATTCTATTCGAAGATTGGACCCAGAGTACTGGAAGACCATATTGAGTTGTATATATGTTTTTATAGTATTTGGGTTTACATCTTTCATTATGGTTATAGTCCACGAGCGAGTGCCTGATATGCAGACCTACCCACCACTCCCAGATATATTCTTAGACAGGTAAGTTTTGTTTCTAGTTGCCAAGTTTGCAGAAGGTTGCAATAACAGCAATGATAATATAGTTATGATAATTATGTTGGCTATTATTATTTAGGTTGATACATACTTTATCTGGTAGTGTATGAAGATATGCTTTGAAATTGCATTTTTGTCTTAAATTAGAGCTTAAGCTTATGTGAGTGGGAAAAGCCACTGCTTAATACTTTTTTATAGCTATATTATAGCTCCTTGGGCACTTCACATTTTAAAAAGGTTTCCTGGAACGATGTCTATAATACATGGGATTTGGTCACTTTTTCTTGATGAATGGGGTTTAAAAGCTTTTCCAAAACTATGGGGAAGGCTCCTGTATCACCAAATAAGTTGGAATGATCACAAATGATACAAATTGATTCATTGATGGTATCCTCTTGTTTTTATGAAGTGTTGCATGCATAAAAAGAATATAGTATATGCATATGAGAAGAACAGAACAAAACTCAAAACTGTTAGTTTTTATATTTGTGATTTTTAAAATCGATTTCAAGTTTGTAGAGCTTTCCTGATTGTTTTTATAAAATGTTTACCCTTCTGAAATTATCTTATAGAATGTATTTTTTTAATGAAGTGAATTAAAGTATCCATGTTGAGATGGCAAAATGACATGCTTATCACATTTTGTCCTCACAAACCCTGACTTAAAGTGTAGTAAGGAGGTTTTTGTTTAAGTTGTAAGCCTACAGGAATGCAGCAGATAAGAAATGAGAAAGTAGCCATACGTTTTTGGAAGTTTGAAAGTAGATGGATGAGTGGCAACAAACAGACCTAAAATAATCTAATTGCAAAATAGCAATTAGGAAAACCTAGAACCAACCCAATCTATGTTGCAGATTTCTCAAAACTCTGGATACTACAGATGAAAGGGTGGTGCTAAAAGAGGAATCTAATGAAAACTGTTGAAGAAACTGTTAGATCCCTATATCTCCTCCCCTTTTCTTTATAGTTTTCCCAATTATAAACAGAAGACCCTAAGAAAGTAAGGAAGAAAGCATGTGGGTATCTCAGGAAAGAGTATTTGAGGCAGAGGAAACAAGTTGTTCCTTGTTCATTGTTTCAAGTTGTTTCCTTGTCCAAGTTGTAACACAAGTTGCAAAAATCCTGAACTAGTAGCTTACTTAGCTTGTTTAAAGAACAGTAAATGAGAGATGGGAAGAACAGTTGGAGACGAAGTCTGAGAGGAGACAGGAATCCAGATTGTCTAGTGATTTGTAGATTATTGTATGGATTTTAGCTTTCATTCTGAATGAAAAGGGAAGCCATTGGAAAGTATGTAGGAAAAGAGTAGAACGACCTAACTACCATTTAAAAAGGAAACTAGTTGTTGTATTGAGAATAGCCTGGGTGTGAATGCGAGTTTGGCAAAGCAGGGATTAAACTATTGAATTCACCTTGACAAAAATGAGGTGTATTGGATAAGGATGGTGGTGGTAGAGATGGTGTGAAAGGGTCAAGTTCTGTTTATATATTTAGAAAGCACAGCCAACAAGATTTGCTGATGGATTTGCATGTAAGATGTAAGAAAAAAGTCAAGGATTACTCCAAGATTTTCGACCCGACAAGGATGGAGTTGCCCTTTACAGAGATGGGAAGACAGCTGACTTGGAAAGAAATATAAGGATTTGATTTTGGACATGTTACATTGAGATATCTTTTACACTAAATCATTATGTCAAGTAAGAGGTGGAAAGATGAGTTGGAGTTCAGAGAGATATAGGCTGAAATTTGGAAGTTACCAGTAGATAAAGGTATGATGTTAGACAAGGCCTTCTAGCCAGTGAGTTAGAAGCAGTAAGATTAGGGGTGCCTGTGTGGCTCAGTCGGTTAGGCATCTGACTTCGGCTCAGGTCATGATCTCACAGTTTGTGGGTTCGAGCCCCACTTTGGGCTCGGTGCTGACAGCCAGCTCAGAGCCTCTCAGAGCCTGGAGCCTGCTTTGGATTCAGTGTCTCCCTCTCTCTGACCCTCCCCTGTTCATGCTGCCTCTCTCTCTTTCAGAAATAAATAAAAACATTAAAAAAAAGAAAGCAATAAGATTAAAGATTGAGCCCAAGAACATTCTTTTCTTTCTTGCTTTTTTTTAAATGAATGGCCTATTTTATATTTCCTTTTTTAAAAATCTTTTTAATGTTTCTTTTGGGGGAGGGGGCATGAGCAGAGGAAGAGCAAAGAGGAGACAGAATCCAAAGCAGGCTCCAGTCTTGCAGCTGTCAGCACAGAGCCCAACGTTGGGCTCCAACTCACGAACCATGAGATCATGACCTGAGCCAAAGTCAGACACATAACCGACTGAGCCACCCAGGCACCCTCAATCCCAAGAACATTCTAACAGAAATCAGAGAAGTAAGGCAAAACGAGTAAAAAAGACTGAGAATGTCAGGGCAGAGAGAGAAAGTAATATCCTGAAAGCCAAGTTAAAAAAAAAAAAAAGTAAGAGGGCAGGAATAATTAATAATTAGCTGTTTTCAAGTGCTGCTGAGGGATCAAGTAAAATGTGGATAATTGACCACCAGATAGAGATATATAGATATATGTTGATCATCAGTGACCTTCACAAGAGTTAGTAAGAGCAGAAGCTAATTGTAATGGGTTCAAGAGAGAATATGAGACTTACTGAAATTTACCTAAAGGAATATAAGCCACAAATAGGAAGCAACATATGCAGAAGTTATTCATTGTGACGTTATTTGTAGTAATTGTAAATATTGGAAATAATATAAATGGCTATCCATGGAAAACTGGTTGAATATAATACTCTGCATAGCAAAGTACTACTTAATCATAAAGAAGAGTGAGGAAGATTTCTAAGAACTGATAAGGTTTTAATGGTACCAGCAAATAATCATGGATGGCCTATTTTGCAACATCCAGCATAGTAATTGATTCAGGCAAGTCATCAGTGCATGCTAAAATCATTAGGTGAAAGATCAAGGATATTCACATGATTTGAAAATATCATTTCATTGCAAATGACATATCAGATAAAGGACTAGTATCCAAAATCTATAAGGAACTTACCAAACTCCACACCCAAAAAACAAATAATCCAGTAAGAAATGGGCAGAAGACAGGAACAGACACTTCTCCAAAGAGGACATCCAGATGGCCAACAGACACATGAAGCGATGCTCAGTGTCACTCATCATCAAGGAAATACAAATCAAAATCACACTGAGATACCACCTCATGCTGGTCAGAGTGGCTAAAATGAACAACTCAGGAGACTATAGATGCTGGCAAGGTTGTGAAGAAATGGGCACCCTCCTACACTGTTGATGGGAATGTAAACTGGTGCAGCTGCTCTGGAAAACAGTGTGGAGGCTCCTCAAAAAATTAAGAGAACTCCCCTATGACCCAGTAATAGCAACGCTAGGAATTTACCCAAGGGATACAGGAGTGCTGATGCACAGGGGCACATGGACCCCAGTGTTCATAGCAGCACTCTCAACAATGGCCAAATCATGGAAAGAGCCTAAATGTTCATCAACTGATGATCAAGACGATGTGGTTTATATACACAATGGAATACTACATGGCAATGAGAAAGAATGAAATCTGGCCATTTGTAGCAACGTGGATGGAACTCAAGGGTATTATGCTAAGTGAAATAAGTCAGGTAGAGAAAGACAGATACCATATGTTTTTACTTATATGTGGAATAGGAGAAACTTAACAGAGGACCATGGGGGAGGGAAAGAGGAAAAATAGTTAAGGAGAGGGAGGGAAGCAAACTATAAGAGACTCTTAAATACTGAGAACAAATTGAGGGTTGATGGGGGGGTGGGGAAGAGGGGAAAATGAGTGATGGGCATGTAGGAGGGCACTTGTTGGGATGAGCACTGGCTGTTATATGGAGACCAACTTGACAATAAACTATAATAAAAAGTAATCATTTCACATACTACTTAATTATAGGAAGAATAAGGTAGCTTTACAGTGTCATGATGTGACGTGCATTATTTTAACCAAATAATCAAAAGTAGCATTTCAAACTGACATGTGTATTGCATGTGATGTTCACAATATCAACTATTTAATAATCTTGCCCCCCCAACATGTAACGTAAGTCTAATCATGAGGAAATTTTCAGACAATTCCAGAACAAGGAACAGTGTAATAAGACAGCTGATTTGGACTCTCCAAAAATGTAGATATTATAGTAAACAAAAGTCAGGCAGGGGGAATTGTAGGGATATTGAAGAGCTGTAACCAAGAGCAATACATGCACTTTATTTGGAACCTATATCAAGAAAAAAAATACTGCTATGAAGGACATTTTGGGGACATTTAGGAAATTTTGAGTATGGACTTCATATTAAACAATGTTGTGTAACACTTAATCACTGTTACAGTTTCCTGGGTATAATAGTGTATTGTGGTATGAAGAGGATATCCTTTTTTTCCTAGGGGATACATGTTGGAGTATTTAGGAGAAAAGTGTCATAAGATCAGCAGCTTACAGACATTTTGCAGGGGGCGGGGTCCTGTTCTTCCAAAAACAGTATGTGTGTATGTGTATGTAGGTATGCATAGAAAGTGAAATAAAATGAATGTGGAAAAATGGTAATTATTGTAAATAGTTGATGGATTTAAGTGAAGAGCTTAAAGTACTTATTCTTTCAACTTTTCATACCCAAAGAAAAGTAAAAAAAAAAAAAAATTGGGCAAAGAGAAAAAGAGAATGGGAAGAGAGAAATTGGAAACAATCAAATCTTAGAAGTTTTCCTGTAAAGGCAGTAGAGAAATCGGCTATATTATAGTATGTTTGTTGTATTGATGATAGGAATAACCCAATTTAGGTTATGGAATGATCAGAGTCATGTCCTTGAGTAAATGAAAAGGGATAGGATCTAGTGGGTGGGAGAGGTTGGTTTAGGCACATGGACTATTCATCCATAACAGAGGAGAAGATAGAAAATACAGAAGCACATTGCTAGATGTGATGGTAGAGCATGAGGAAATGC